AACAACAATCGAAGAAAATATTCATGAAAAATGTTGTTGCAACTAAGATCAGCGTGCAAACAACCCACCAGAATGATCAGCTGCTGTGTAATCCGTGAGAAGAGGCGATGCTGCTAATGCTGCGTAGTTGGCGTAATCAGCATATGGTGTGTAAATTAAACCATGTGGATCACCGGCAGAAAGAAGTGATCCTGGTGGGCCGGAACCGTTCAGAAGAGACGCTGCGGTCGTTGGAACAGATATCCGTGGCGAGAGTATTAACGGTGCTCCCAATGGAGCACTGGGCGTCCTCATAGGTGTGGCCAAACCTGGAAGAAGTCGCTGCGTTTCTGCCGCAGCCGCTGCAACGCGCCTCCATTCTTCATCGCAAGCTAAAATATATAATTTAAAAAAAATAGTTACATAAAAAAACTGAATTTTCGTATATAATTATGATGAAACAATAATGATAATTTATTTGTAAAGAACATAAAGAAAGTGTGTGTATACATATATATATAAAGAAGATTAATACATAAATATATATTCATCTTTAGAGAGTCGTTTTCTAAAAATTAAAATAAATACAAAATGGTATACAAAAATATCAGTTGAAACTTATTTATTAAGTTATAAATTAATTGTATTAATAATTTTGTATTAAATAAAGTCAAAATTAAGCAAGATAATGATGCAATGAAGATGATTTATTTTTATTTCGTTTTATTAATTTGCAAATTTTGATTGCTTATAATTTATATAATAAGTAAGTCTTAACCGATATTTTTGTATATCAATTTTTGTTTTAACTTTTCTTGATTTTTCAAATGAATATATCAACAATTTGTATAATTATTTTTATATCTACAAAATATCTTATTATATCATTATTAATTATTATTTATTATTATTATTTATTATATTATTATTAAAATTTATTGTAACATATTATATAAATGTGTTATATAATATATATAAGATAAAAAAAGAAGGTTTATTATAAAGTAAAAAAAAGAAAATAAATTTTAAGATATATACCTGTAGCTGCTGCAACTTTTGTGTTAGAATCTCGGTAAGTACCATTGATAATAGCAAGTTCCATTAATTGCCGTTTCTTTAACTCATCCTCTCCGTCAGCCTGCTAACAATTAACATAATTAATAATAAATCAATATTGTTTAGATATATCATGATATAATCTGAAAGATTAATATATTATTTTATTCATTTTTTTAAATATTCATTAAATATAATGCATCAATTAAAAGAAAAATGTTACAATAAATTTAAATATTATAGTTAATAATAGGAACTTTCTCACCACGGGAACAAGGAGTTTCTTGACTTCTTCTACAGCTCTGGCAAGTTTCAAAGTGGCACGATTTTCAGTATCCTCGACTGTCAATAAAACATGTAATTCATCTGTCAGATGTTCCCAGTTTGGTTTACCTCGGTTTAACTCTTCCTAATAAACGAATTAATATTGCGTAATATAATAATATAATTTAAATTATAATAATTTAAATTAAATTAAAATTTATCTAGAACATATATGAACCAATACTATTTAATATAAATATTAATTACACAATAAATAAATATTCTATTAATTTATTTTTAATCAGTATTATATGTTTATATTTTTTTGTAAACTATTAATACAACTATATAATTAATTCAAAATAAGAAATGATATTTATATATGTTCATTTAATTACAAATTAAAT